CCTTTATGGGTGTGCAACAACATTGTGAAATAAAGACAAAGCATTAATCTGCTTGTGGCTGCTCCTCATGTGCAGCAGTTCTGTTGAAGACTCTTTTAAGCCTTCCCATGTAAACAAAACCTCAACCCCCTACACACTAAGACTGTGCAATTGGAAATAAATGTTTATTTTGAAATAAAAAGAAAACGTGCATATACACAGACAAACCATAAGCCTTTGATCAACCCCACAAAACATGGCCGTGTATAACAAAAACTGTCAGGCTCATAACTTCCTCTGGAAAAAAAAAAAAGTGATTTCCCACACCCTGCTTATTCACCAAGATTATTTATCACCCTAAGGAATCCCATTTTATTTATTCAGTAACACAAATAAATCCAAACTAGAGATTTGTAGTTGCCAGTTAACACGGCAAGTGCATTACAAATGAAAGTAGAAACTAGGGTGGAATCATGCAGGACATGTTGCCAGTGCTGGCACTCTCAGCATGTCCCAAACTTGCACCTCTTACTTTTCTAATCCATCACAAGTAAACAGGTGACCACAGAGATTACACGTACCAGCAGAGGATCTCCATTACCACTAAACCTTTTGCCTTACCAATCAAATATTATTTTAACATCACCTCTTACATTTGGGTTTGAATTCTACCCTAAAGCAACTGTACTCCCCACTCCTACAACTGTTACACCATTCCACCCACACACAACCAGTGTGATCCTCATTTAAAAGGTGCCACTGGAACTCAGGATTGGGGTTAAGTGCAATAAGTAATCTCTATAATAAGAGGATACAACAGAACGCTCTTGTACCACCTGATATTATAACAACAACATTTGTTTACGCACTATTAACAGGAGGTTAAATTTCAATATCTGAAAGACAAATAATCTAGGAAATAATATTTAGAGCAGACCCTGTCCATTCGAGTAGATAATCGGAATGAATAATTTAGAGCCACACTTTCATCTCTGCTGCAGCTGAGAAGAGCTGCATTGTAAGGAGCTTGGAGAGATGCCGACACATCTGCTCACCAAGTGGAATAATCGGGAGGACTCCGAGCAAGAGTGGTCCAGTAACCTCTTTTGCTTAGGTGACAAGTGGGACAGGAAGCAGTGGGAGGACAAGGAATGCAAAAAAAACTCCACAACAACAACAAAAATCAGCATGCTCCCAGAGAGGTTAGTATTTCACGTTTTTGCAATACTGCATATTGTGCCTCAGAGGAAAACAGAGCTATGCTGGGTTTTTGCCTCTACATTGTCATAGGTTCCTCCTAAAGGTATTTCAGGGTCAAGGAAAGGGTGCCTGGCACATTTGCATGCAGGCCCTTCCTGCTGTGCCATGAGGACTCAGGAGGCATGAATAACATCCTGGAAGCAGCATCAATTCACCCTGATTGATCCAGTAACAGTAAACAGTGCGTAACAAACAGCTAACAAAGCAAACACGCTTCAAGGAACTCTCCAGAAATCCAAGCAAGTCTTATCCTAAAGCTGGGAATCAAGCTTCATTTGATACTTTTTGCAATGATGTGTATGGGATTGAATTAACAGACTAAACACTAATTTGGTACAGATGTTGCTCAGGTGGAAGGATGGTGTAGGTTTCATCGGGGAATGCCTTGTAAAAAGATGATGAGCATCTGGAGGAGTAACACTGGCATATAAATACTGTCTTTACAAAGTAGACAGATGGGGAAAAAATGTATCTTTGAACAGATTAAAGAAATCTATGTGTACAGGTAGGAACTGCCAATAAAGGCATGTTACAGTCTGTAATAACTCTGGCGAACCACAGGGAGCCACAGCACTTTGCAATAGTTTCAGGGGGCAGCTACAAACAACCTCCTCCTATCATACAGGCTTGGTAGGTTTTGCTTATCCACATTTGCAAGATTTTTGTTAACTTCACAGGCTGTTTATTAGCTCAATGTAGGGAAAAGCAGATGGACATAGGGATGATTCCCTATGAGATAGCACAATGAGAAGGGTCACCACATAAGTGCATAATAAATTGCACAATTTAAAGCCAAGATCCTCTTCCCAGCTGCACTCTGCCCACTAAGGTAGCACAAGGACCATGACTTGTAGAGCTTAAGAGCCATTCTGAAGTTGTTTCCCCAGCCACAACCAGGAGATTCCTAAATAGAAACCAAATGAAAGCTATTCATGATGGATGGTTCACCTATTACCTGCCTTGCCTATTACTTACAACATACCTTGGTTGGGTAGCACTTCTTTTGTTGTTGTTTTAAAGAGTTTCCTAAATAGTTTCATCATACTTCTAACCCATACAAAGCATTTATGTATGTACACAAATTTTATTGGTTGACATAGTAAGTAGCCTGAAGCAGAAATCTAAGAAATTTATTCACAAGTCACAGATTACACATCCAGATGAGCAGAATAAGAACCAGGAATAGCTTTGGCTTTGCTATACAAAACTCCCTCTTCTTCACAGCCCATTATATTAAGATTAGTTTTACAACTCATGCAAGGTAAATCAAAGCCAACTATGCAGGTCTGCAGCGTGCCTGTGATCAACTAGATCAATTAGAAAACGGATTTTAGTTAGACGAGTCAAAAATGAGATTACATCAGGCTCACACTGGGAAGCTGGGTTTCAGCAGCACAGCCCTCTACTTTCTGTGCTAACCTCAAAATAACACAGAAGTATCCATTGCAAAACCCATATTAAACTGAAAACATGCAGGCCACCAGCCAGTCCCTAACAATAGCTGCTAAATTCCCTCCCAAAGTCCAAGGAACTTGCTCCATCTCCTCTGACAGAGGCTTATGCTGTGTTTTGGGCACAGTTTGTGCACAGCCACACACTAAACCTGGCCTAAAGCTTCTATGAACAAAGACAGATGGGCTTAAAGGAGAAGGATGTAAGCAACAGGGATGGAGAAATGGTCTTGATCCATTTCCAACACAAAAGGTGAAGGAATTAGTGCTCTGCGCTTATGGGCAGGTCAGGCAGACAGAGTTAAATACGAGTGGTTCAAAAAAGTTTAGATTACTTTGTTCTCTACAATACAGAGGAAAAGACCCAATTCCCCCCCAAAAAATGAACAGAACACTGTTCTATTGACGAAAACTGTCTTAAGTCATTGATTTCCTTTTGTTGAGGTTTTTAAAGCATGAAAGGAGGAAGAAGCACAAGTTAAAATTTTTACAGAGCTTGAAAGAGCATAAATATAATATTCTACCATTTTACTCTTCACATTCTCTTCCTTTGCCAAATATGTTTACACCCAAACATAACAACACATTAGAGAACATCACTATATCACAAGCACTGAAAATAATAAAAGCAAAATGCTGAATTATAGCCCTTTATCAATTCAAGCCCACCTTGAAATCCTAGGTATCCCCAAGCAAAACCCAGTAAGTCACATTCCAACATTAGACTACAAAACTTTATCAGTCCAGACACCATTTGCTCACACTGTCAATAATAAACCAATTTTTTTGGTTTATAACAGAAGAGAGAAATAAAAAAAAGTCTTGTACTTGCTCCAATCTTCCACACAAATAATGCTGGATTTTCAATAAAATCAGTAAGTTATCTTTAAAAGTTAATATAGTTAGTTTGATCTACACAAAACACTTTAAAGCTCCTCTTAGATTGAAAACTGGTTTTATGTTGTTGGAAAGATTTGTGGGTGATTTTTAGGCAATTTTGCCTCTCAAAATAATAAAGTGAGATTTTCCCCTTTTGCCAGTGTATTGCTAGTGAGTTTTCCAAAGATAACACACATATTTTGGATTCTAGGACCATAACCTTTAAAAAAGTAGTTCTAGGACTTGCACTTTAGAGAAAAGTGTGAGTGATTTAACAAAATTATCAGGGTGAGGTGAGTGAGCAACTAAGTATCAGGTTAAAACTAAAGATTATACCTGTCTCGGCTATATGAAGTTTTCAGCTTGGATTGCATCTCTGAAGAGTATAAAGACAGACTGTTCCTTTCCACACACACCCTCTTAAGTCTATTAACTCTTGCAGCTTTTGTTTTAAAATTCTAATCAAAGAGCAGGTAGAGTTTAATTAAAAAAAATATTCCACGTTATTTTAACTGTCACATCTCATTTCCCAGTTCTAATCAACACAAGGAAAGTAGTTAACAAGTAAATTGAAGAGTGACCAGCATTATTGATGTTAGACAACTGACTACACCCCGAGCAGCAGTTGTTCTTCTGCTCTATAAATAGGCAAGAAGCCCAGAGCCACATTTAGAGATTAGTAAAATTACCACTGCACTGCATTCAAAGTGAAAATAATTAAGGTAAGGAGGTTATAAAACAGTTGGAAATCCACAGGAAGGTTGAGAAAGTAAGGAGAGAAGCAAAAGAGGCAAAAAACTCTTCAGTACTTGAAAGACAACAAAAGGAAGAAAGAGACAGAAGGTAAAGGGCTCCAATTTTGCACAGATCATCCCTTAATTCAACACAGTATTCAAAATGAGTTTTAAGCAGTGAGCTTAAAACCAATCACTGTACTAAAATAATCCAGATAAGTCAGTGGCAATAAAGACATACAAACAAGAAGATATGCTCATGTCCACATACAAGAGGCAGCACAGCATTCAGGGAGGACACAACAAAAGGATGAGACCCTTCCAGTTCAAATTACCAGTAACAAACCAGGAACCAGTCTCTAGCACAGCTATCTCCCAGAGAGGCTGGCTGTCACAGAAAAACAAAGGTCTATTCTCAAGCCATGGAGAAAGTACTTCCATCACTGAATGCCCTTATAAGCACGAGGAATCAAGCTGTTGAAGTCCCAAACTATACAAAGACATGTATTGTCTCAGTGACAGAAGACAAAGAGTTCTAGCAATCAAAAATAGCATGCAGGCCGTGAAAGGCCAGGCATTTGCCCATCAGTATATGAAGTTTACCAGTTTAGGAGGACTGAGGACAGAAAAGTAGCAGGGCTACGTGTCTAGCGCCCAATGCCAAGAAAAACAGAACTCTGGGTTACAATTTGCTTACCTTCTATAGAAGGGGCCTGGTCCACAGCTGCATACAGCATCTCTTTCAAAGCCTGCAAAGGAGAGGGAGAGAACAAGGAAAGAAAAATTACATTGTTTTGATGTGACCGTTTGAAAACAAAAGCAATTAAAGCCCTTTTATCCTCCAGACTGGCACAGAAAGCTTTGGTACGTGATCTCAGCGCTCTCACACGTACTTCTGTTCACAAACGAAACAGGTTCATGTTTACTGACTGCTTTGTCTAAAGCCTGTTATCTTATTAATCTACAACATTTATTCCAACTGTACCTTTCAACGACTTCCTTTGGAAAAATGTTTCCCACTTGGTAGGATGTTAAAGGCTTTACATTAAAAAAACCTGAAGAAATAACAACAAAACCTAAAGTGTTGCGTGACACAAAGGAATTTGTCACGGCAAATGGAGGAAAAGCAGCCTCAGGGACTTCTTACCCCTGTTATATAGGAGCACAGAAACACACATACATTCTAAAAGTTGAAGACAACATGACGGAGGAGATTAGGGAACCAAGGGTGACGGCCTTCTCTAGAGGTGGGGTCTGAAGGACAACGTTAACACCAGCCAGAATTACTAACCAGGTGTTCATGTTCTGGAGGCACCACGAGCTGCCTCGCAGGGACCACAGAAGAACCACTGATCCACACTCAGACTGATGGTGCAAGAGATGAGCAGTGCAGCAGCAGGTCCAGGAGACAAGGAGGTCCTACAGCTACACATGGAGCATCCCTGGCAGTAACTCCTTCCATTGCCAGAGCCAGGAGAGAGGAAGGAACCACATCACAAACCCCAACCACTTGCAGTTCCTTTTTGGAATTGCTCTTTTCAGACAGTTGTTAAGGTGCTGGTATTATTCCAGTCATAGATTAAATATTTGCTCCCTCACATCAGATAAACTGAATTCAGATCAGTAGGTGAAGGAATGAAGCAATTTCAAGAGAGGGTCACAACGATGTTTAGAGGGCTGGAGTACCTCTGCTCTGGAGACAGGCTGGGAGGGCTGAGGATGTTCAGTCTGGAGAAGAGAAGGCTCCAGGGAGACCTTAGATCCCCTTCAAGTGCCTAAGAGGGCTTGAAAAGAGATGGAGAGGGACTTTGGACAAGGGCATGGAGTGACAGGATATGGGGGGGAATGGATTCAAACTGACAGAGGGCAGATGCTAGGAAAAATTCTTTACTGTGAGGGTGCTGAGGCCCTAGAACAGGTTGCCCAGAGAACCTGTGGCTGCCCCATCCCTGCAAGTGTTAAAGGACAGTTTGGACAGAGCTTGGAGCAACCTGGGATAGTGGACGGTGTCCCTGCCAATGGCAGGGGGTTGGAATGAGATGGTCTTTAAGGTCCCTTCCAACCCAAACCATTCTAGGACTCTACAAATAACTTGAGCCATGATTTTGGAACTAGAAGCCACCAGGAAGGACCCATTCCTACCGAAAAGTGATTTGTTTACACACACCTCATACCTTGATACACATGGTGCATTTGAGTACTCTCCACCATTGTAAAAACTAGATCTTATTCCCTCATTTCTGAGCCCACAGAAATCTAACACACAAAATTCATTCAGGTCATCTTAGTTCCTGTGTCTTCTGCCTGGTTACCAACACATCCCATACTTCTATAATCCTGGACCTCTGCATTTACCATCTTGCATGTCATAATCCCCCAGGTCACAACCTCCCAGCCTAAATGACAAATACTCCAATACCCTCAAGGCAAAAACCACAAGCTCAGCAGCTGAAAACTGAGCCCTGTTGTAACACGGTGGTTACAATCCTGTTAAGCAAATACAAGGTCTAAAGGACATGTCTGTTTATCACAAGATATCCAAGGTGGCTGGTTACACCGGCAGTTCTGGCATCTCTCAAAGGTCTGGCTCCTGAGTCCACAGAGGTCTCAATAAAGGTCACTTGCATAATTGTTTTCCCAACCGAGTCGCTGCTGAATGATCCTCATTCCAGTGGCACAGCTCTCCACTACTCTCTGTGCTTTCCTAAAATTCCTCACAAATACTGGCCCCTTCGGCCTCTTTCCCCCATGACTCACTGGTCAGCAGCACATGATCTGCCTCTACACATCAAGTGGTCGAAAACTGTTGCTTCTTTTCCACCCCACTCATCATCCTCACCCACCTGTATCTTTTTCCATGAACCACAACCCCATGGCATAGGATAAACAAGCCAGGAGAGACAGCAAATTGAAAGTCACTATAGTAACAACTCCATCTCTTAACCCACCCAGAGGTAAACTCAATGTAATTCCTATCTCTGGTTTTATCGGTCTCTTTAAAAAAAAATAAATTAAAAAGGACAACACTGATGGTCCTGCACTAAGCAGTCTTGAAAGCTGAAGGTGTCAGTCGTGCCACAGACGTCTCCCCATGCAGACTGACATATTACAATCTGGCAGCTGCAGGGCAGCAGATTTTGTTACTGCTTTCCTGACCTATATAAGTAAACCAATAACCTGAAAGTAAAAGGCTCAGTGCTCCCTCACACCTAAAGTATTTAGTCCTCTAGATTACAGAATTTTAGGACCGATTGTTTACAAAAGTTATCCATCACTGTCAACTTCAAATGTTTAAGAATTACTCATTCTGCCCTCAAACTAAACAAAACAGGTTATTATTTCTGTGCTTTAAATTGTGCTAGTGATACACCTTGCACCCGCAGTGAACTTGTGTAAATATATAAGAGAACAAAAAAACAAAAAAAAAAAACGTAGAAAGAAAACATTTAAAAATGCAACTATCAAACCTTAAGAGTGAACAAATTCAAGGACAAAAACCTTAAAACACGCAAAAAACCTGCTCTTTTAAAGGAGTCTTTCAAACCTCTTCTAAGCTCATCCGCTAACAGCCGAAGGACAAATAGTGAAATAGCACAACAGATTTGTGTCAGGAGGTGGCAAGCCTAGTGCGAACTGCCTATCATGAAGCTGGGTTTGACAGCAGAATTGGCTACTTCCCAAAAACTGAAAGCCTGTTTCTGGAAGAGAGACTCTGAAGGCAAGCAGGCAACCTCAGCTATCAGCTTCCTTTTCCCCACCTACTTCCTGCTGCAGGTTGTGTCTCAGCAACGTGTCTAAAACTCAGCAACCTGTTTCTCTTCTTCAGCAGCAAAAGGACTTAAAAATCTGGGGTCTCCCTAAAAGGGAAGGGAGGTCATCTGCTCACACCTTTACCCATCTATCCAATGAACTTTGCACCTGCCATAACTGTTCTAATTCTTCTCCTTCCCCAGTTGCTGTGATTTCAAAGGTGCTATGCACTTTTTCTATAAAAATATCACCAGACTTCTGCAGACAGATAAAAAAATTCAGGCCAGATGAACTGCTACAAAACAGCCATCTGGCAACTGTACAACTCCAGTGAGTTCCATCAGCTGGACGTGCAGACGTACGCTTACATTTAGAAGTCTGAACAGACGGAGAAATGTTCTCCCTCTAAAAGTATTCCAAGGATGGACATGAGAGCAAAGGAGATCAGCAGGGTTTGTTGATAAACAGAGGACTAGCAACCCAACATATTCATTGCATCAAAAAATGAACATTAAATGCAGCAAAGCACATTCTCAGCAAAAAACCATCAGCTGAAATTCATCTAAGAGTCACCTCAGTCTCTTCAGTACTGACTACAGGGAAATGAGAATTCTGTTGTCTGACACAAAAAGATGGCATTTTGTTTGTTTTCATGTTTTTTCTTTGCACCAAAGGAACGGAAGGGTAAATGAACAGGTCAAAACTTTAGGTTTTAAGGCAAGAAGTGCACTGAAGCAATGCATGCCACAGCGATAACCTAACTCACTAGGAAAAGGCTACTCACTTCATAAGAGAAAAAACTCTGCCAGATCCCCTAAAACAAGGTGAGCAAAACTTTTCCCTGCTGTTGCCAGGGTGAGGGCACATCCGGGGGTCACTGCTCTTTTGCACAGTGAGAATCCACCTGTTCCAGACTGCCAGGTGCCCCAGTTCATGTGCAAAACCACTGCCCCCCTCTGCTGCGCTCTTTGCCCAGGAAAAAGGAGCAGGTACAGAAACACCAAGCATCGCTTTTAACAGTTAGGAAGTTTTCGGATGCCAGACATTGAAATCAAGACCAAAGTTGTCTGAAACTTTTGCATACATAGCACTTAACATCACTGAGAAGCATTTCAACATGTTAAGCATTTGTTGATATGTGTTTTTAAACTCAACTGCCTCCAGGGAGCTGCCTGATAATGACACTCAGTATTCCAATGGAAAAAATTCCCCTTTATATTGGGATTGTGCATTATGTTATTGACACTGGTCCTCACAAAAAGCCGTCCTCATCATTTGCACTGACTTAGACTTCCAGAACCATCAGCTATGGATGGATTTTTCATAGTAAAATGACACATCCAATCTGCATGTTTTAATGCATTTTTAGAATGGAAATTTGAATGGAAAGTCAAATCAAGTCAATCAAGGTTTGGGTAAAGCTCCGTGTTAAGATTGACTCAGTCATGGTAAATGTCTTTGGGAAATGCTGAATGAAACAGAACAACATTCATTGTCATTTTTCTTCTTTTCTGTAAGCCAAGTGCTCTCTCTCAAAAAGCAGACGTACAGTAATGGTCACTAGATAAGAATCTAAGCCACACCTAGCAAAATATATCTTCTTTTTGCCTGTTCAAAGAAAATTAATTTTTCTCTCTTTAAAGCTCTTCCCCTGACCAAGTGCCTGCCCTAAGCCTGGGCAACTTCCGTACTTCCTACAGGCATATCTACAATACTTAAAGAGATTTTTGGAGGGAAAGATCACATTAATGGTAAGGAGTCTGAGGACTGTCAATTGTTAAAGACCATCTGAAAGTGAAGCTACATTTTTAGGTATTGAAAGCAAAAGTCTCATTCTTCTTCCTGACACTATCAGCCACAGATCACACCCCTCTCCTGGTCTGACTGGCAAAGCTCCCTGCAGGCACACTCACCATGCATCCCATCAAAGGATCTCACAAGTTACCTATGTCCTGCCATGCTCTGGAGCTCTCTGACTGCACAAGTCACCTGCTCTCCAATGGAAATAGCTACAAATATCAGAGTGGAAAAAACAAGATGAGGACATGTAAGCTTTATGATACAGAACGACTCAAAGAAAGCAGTTTCTAGATCATCTTTTAATCCTTTCAAGGGGGAATGGCTTCAAACCGAAAGAGAGGAGTTTTAGATTAGATATGAGGAAAAAATTCTTCCCTGTGAAGGTGGTGAGGCCCTGGCACAGGTTGTCCAGAGAAGCTCTGGCTGCCTCATCCCTGCAAGTGTTCAAGTCAAGATTGGATGGGGCTTGGAGCAACCTGCGATAGTGGAAGGTGTCCCTGCCCATGGCTGGGGGGTTGGAAAGAGATGATTTTTAAGGTCCCTTCCAACCCAAACCATTCAATGATTCTGTGGTTCTGAACTTGACATAGGAAGTCCCTGGAAACAGGAACAATCTTTTCAGAGTTAAAAGCCTACCCAAGAAAATCTCTCACTCTGAAACAGTGATTAGTGTGTTAATTATGAAAGAAAATATATTAATTGTCAGATGAAGAAACATTATAATGCTACTAAATAGACATATAATTTATTGCTGCATTACTACAATGTAAGTAATATTGCACACAAGTAACACAAGCAGCATTTAACCTCACATTTGCTCATCAACAACTTGGAATTTTTCTGGACAAAGGAGGGCTTTTTGCCTCAGGTATAATCAGCAAGTAAACTGAGGTACCACTGGGCTTTTACACATTGCACCCACACGACCACCAGTCACTGAATAATAAATAATTCCATCACTGTAATATGCATGAGCAGGAGGCTGACTCACATCCAGCCAGCTTCAACAAGGCAAACAAAGAGTTTGAAAGTTATTACTGAAAAAGAGGGTGAGGTTTTTGTTTCGTTCACTCTACATTAAGTTGTCTGTCCAAGGAGGAGATTACTTAAGATTAGAAACAGTAACAACTTGAAGGAAGTTTTTACTGAAATCTACATTTTAAACTGGGATGAGGGAAGGGAGAATGACATAATAATACTGCCCTAGTTAAGAACAGCTGAAAATTAACCTCCTATAATGAAAAGAGCGGCTGATGAGCAGCAGAGTTGTTCGCACATTAATCGTGTTGTAGTTCACTGTGTCTCCTTACCCTCTCTCCACATCTGTCTGCTCAGCATGCAACCAGATCTTCTGCCCTCCTATTTCCCCCTTGCTTTCCCCTCCAAACCTTCTCTTAGTAAGATATCCAAGTTTTCTGTTTCCAGGAACAGAAGACAACCCTCACAGGGATAACCCATCAGAGACACGACACAGCGCTAAGCTGGTCCTTCATTTTATTAAGACAATGGCTTTCCTCCTCATCAAACACTGATGCATTATTTGGCCATGTAGTTCTCCACATAATTCAAAGAGATCAGAATATTGCTGTAAAGCCAATTTCAACTGCAGCTTTTAATTAAACATCCATTCCTCTGCAGTCAGGTAAAGGAAAACAAAGGAAGAATGAAAAGGGCAAATATAAATTTTTCAAGCTCAACATTATAACAAAGCAAGTTAAGAGAAATGCGGTTTTCCTCACAAATATAGACAGATTAAAAGGGATAGTATAAATAAATTGCTATTACAGTCTTGGGGAGAAAACACAGGCCTTCAAACAATAACAAATTTTGTGTGGTTTTAACTGAGTCAATCAGTCAAGAAGTTTTGCTGATCACGGCTGTCCTATAATCAGTCTTCCGTTGTCTAGATTTAATTATTACTCGAGGAAGAGACTGGCACTGCTGGCACCTGCCACTTCTACTGCTAACACCGAAATAGGAAATGGTTTTACTACAAATAACCACCTCTAGCTTCATCTAGTTAAACCCAAGCCAAGCACCGGTGTGATAAATCTGAAACGAAGCAATCAGCGTGACCTTTAGCAGGTTGGTATGATAAAGCCTGAAACGCTGTATTCTGCAGATAATTCACGATTAACGCAGCAAAACTTGGTGTAAGCAGTGCCCATTAATGCCCCGATTCGAGTACGAAACGAGATGCAAAGCCTTATTTAAAAATGATAACACAGAACTTGATGGGGGTTTGGTGCCCCGCTCTGGGTGGCTCAGGGGAGTTGACTGGGGTTTGGTGCCCTGTTTTTGGTCGCTCAGGATAGTCGGCAGGCGTACCTGTGGCCCCCGGCAGGGTTGGGAGAGCGCTGGGATCTGCCCATCCCGGCGGGATCGCCCTTGGGAGGCCGGGAGCCTCTCAAAGTCACCCTCCTGCGCCGCCGGGGCCGAGACCCGCGGGTGGTGCTGAAGCACCGCCGGGGCTGCGGAGGGTGTGCGGGGCCGGCACCGCACCGCGCCTGTGCCCCGACCTCTGTCCCCGCCGAAGACTAATTAATTAATTAATTAATTAACAGGACACCCGAGGGGTGCCGAGAGCCGGAGCCGCCGCGATGGTCACACGCGCTGCCTTTTCCCCGTCCCTGCGGGGGCAGGACGGCCCCGCACCGCCACGGCACGGGGGCACCGGGGAGACACGGGGAACCAGCAGCGGTCCCTACACATCCCCAGGGCAGGGGAACCCGGCCGGGGTAGGACCGCCCCGCACCGCCGCGGCAACCGGGAGCCCTGGGAAGAGCCGGGACTGGCCCCCGGACACCTCGCCGGGAGCGGGGCCGTACCTCATACTGGATGTACTGCTTCCGCCACTCGGGGGTGATGTGCGCCGCGAGGTGCTCGGCGAACTTCATCCTGCCGCCGCCGCCGGTGGGCCGGGGCCGCACTCGCTCCGCGCCCGCGGAGCCGCCTCGGCGGCGCCTGGCTGCAAACGGGCGTCGGTAGTGGGGGGCGGGGGGGGTCCGCCGCCACCGCACATGGGCCCCGCCCGCCCGCCCCGCCACTCCTCGGCCCGCCTCGGGCCTCCTCAGCACCGCCCCGCCGCTGCCACCGCCTCCGCCGCCGCCATGTTCGCCACCGCCTCCCGCCGTCACCGCCCGCAGCCAACCGGCACCGGCACCGCGCGGCACCGCGAACCGCCCGCCCACCGCCGCGGGGCGGGGCCTCCGCGCCGAGACACGCCCCTGCCGCCGGCTCCGCGCGGCCACTGCCGCCCCGGGGGCGGGGCCTCCGCGCTGGCCACGCCTCTTCCATTCAGTCACGCCCCTCACGGGAGGGGGGCGGTTCCCGCTCGCGCGTCCCGCAGGCGCCCCCCAGCGGTCCACGCGGGTTTTTGAGAAGGGATTTTGGGGCGCAGAGGTGTCACCCGAAAGAGACCCTCGGGATCGCGGGGATGGCCTCGTCGTGGCCGTGGAGGCTCTGGGGCAGAGCCAGGGGGAAGATTGGGCTCTTTGGAGACGGATGGGATGGGATGGGATGGGATGGGATGGGATGGGATGGGATGGGATGGGATGGGATGGGATGGGATGGGATGGGATGGGATGGGATGGGATGGGATGGGATGGGATGGGGATGAGGATGGGAAGGGATGGGAATAGGAATGGGGTATGGATGAACATGGGGATGGGGATAAGAATGGGAATGAGAGAGGATGGGAAGGGATGGGAATAGGAATGGGGTGTGGATGAACATGGGGATGGGGATTGAGAATGGGAATGAGAGAGGATGGGAAGGGGATGGGAAAGGAAATGTGAGGAGACAGTGATGGGAGAAAATGGAGATGGGCTAGGATAGGGAAGGGAATTGGATGTGATGAGCCAGGAATATCATGGCATGGGGGTAAGATGGGATGAGAATGGAATGGGATGAGGATGGGAATTGTATGGGAAAAGGATGGAGATGGGAAGGGGATGGGATGAGAGGGAAATGGGGATGAGAATGGAATGGGATGGACATGTAGATGAGATGGAGATGAGGTGAAATGGGAATAGCTGGGAAAGGGAGAAGTGTGGCAGGGAGAGTGTTGTGCATGGGGGAAAAGAGGTGAGGGGATGGGGAGGGACCAGCCAGGGGAAATCCATAGAGATGGGGAAAGAGTAGGGGAAAGTGCAAGAAAGATGAGTAAGAATTGAGGGAGGAGGGAAATTGAGATGACAGGCCCCTAAAGGCTGGGGGAAAAGGGAAAGAAAGAGAAGACAGTGCAAAGAAAAAAGCAGAAGGGACAAGAAAGGGGAGGGGGAAAAAAAGGAAAATTCTCCAACGGTTGCATGATCTCCACAGCCTTTCTGGTGCACAGCGAGGCTGGGTGAGGGGGAGCAGGGAACCCAGGGCAGCTCTTGGAGAAAACCCACTGGGGTGGAGCCCAGCTGGTTCTGGGCTCTCTGTAAGCTGAGATACCGAAGATGGAACTCCTTACACCTGGCAGAGGGTTAACCAGGGACAGTAGAACTGTAACACAGAGTGGGTTTCCTGTTAGGAATGTCAACCTATGGTGTTAGGACATGTGGCTGTGTGTCCAATCATGAGTTGTTATGAAGTGGTAAACCAATGCTGTGTGTACATGTGTCACCCAGAACTGTATAAAGGTAGCTGTACTGTTGCAATAAAAAAGGCTGGTATCCTGAAACCCATGTCGCCTCCTACCTCGACCGCGACAACCCACCTGCACTGGAGCACAGCTGCTCTGGAATACAGACACCCCTAGGAGCTGGTGGGTTCAGTACCTGATGTGTTACGGAGTGAGAGACCAAACTGGAGAAATTCAGAGTGAAGCTGCTGCTCGGTTATCCCCAGGATTCTCAGCGGCCCTAATCCTGCCCCTCCCCAGTTCCCAGATTTTGTAAACTTGCTGCATTTGGGATTGATTTTGGTTTCCTTCAAGCCTCCCAAACTTTGGCACAACTTGAGGTGGCAGTTTTCAGCTTTTTCCCATCCTTACAGGGCCAATCCCATCCCGGCTGTGGCCCGTGGGTACCACAACATTCCTCCCTGTCACCGTAGCAGCTGCTGGAGCATTGCTCCCACTGACACCCACAGAGCTCATTTGCTGAGGAGATTTATGGGGGTCCTGTCACAGGCCCGGGACCTGTGATTTGCGAGGGCTGAGATTCCCCAGCGACAGCGGCGCTCACTAATGCAAGCTCTTAATTATGTTTGCAGCAAACCCTTTAACGAGCAGAGCATTAGTGCCCTTCATCCGAAACTCCACACTCAGCAGCCTGCCCGGTGCTGACCTCGGCACGAGCCAGCCGGGATGTCATAGCTTGACTTACATTTCGCAGGTCACCAGCTTTTGAATGCATCACCTTGGCAGGCGTGTGCCCGATAACATCGCCCGGGGACTGAGCCTGCCCCCGCCACCATCCGAGGCACCGGCTCCAACGCGAGCCGGGACTTGGCGGACGCGACCCTTTGAATGCTGCGGGGCTTCCAGAGATAACGTGCAGCATGGGGAAGGAAAAGCGATTAAGAAAGAAATATTCTCTTTATTGTTTGCTGGATGCCTAGACTGAAGTATGTCCCGAGACGTATAATAAGCTAATATCTTCTGATCTGACAGCTTGCGAATTCTGTGATGGAAAATAACCATCCCCCCCCCTTCCCTTTATTTATCTTATACTAATAAATGTTATTTATTGATGTTTACAAAAAAGACAGACAATAGCAGGGGAGGCAGTTTAGAGGCTGGGCTCCTTCTTACTGCCATTGCCCTGTAACAACAACTCCATTTAAATATCTGATTGGCAAATCACTGCCTCCCGTTATCAGACACCCTTTGGGACCACATTTAGCACCATAGTATTTCACTGCTCTGCTGGGACTCTGGGCTTTCCGACTCCTTCAAAGGTTTCAAAACCTTCAGCTCTGCACTTCCAGGCTTGGGGGAGGAAGGCAGGAAGGGAGAGAGGGCAGGAGAAGCCTTAAATGAAAGAGAAAAGGCCACCAGTGCCAGACCCTGCTGCCTTCTGCCCATGGTGGGGTGGAGGGCAGGCAGGGAGAATACAGGCAATGTCGAGGAGGGATGGGGATTCCAACTGACCCTGGTCTTGGGTCTGGATCCCAGTCCCAGTGCCTCAGGTCTGGATGCTGGTTCTCCATGCTTCCAGTTTGGATCCCAGTCCCCAAACCTCAGGTCTGGATCCCACTCCCCATACCTCATTTGCACCAGGTTTCCACATTTTCCTCATCTCTCTCTTTTACAGGAAAGAGTTTGCATTGTGATTTCCCCCGTGCTGTTGTGGTTACAAAAAAAAATCATAGAAGTAATGTTATTTGCATTTTTAAAACAAGCAAGGAGAAACCAGAGTGGGCTTTCCGCCAGTGCAGTCTGGCACTTGCTTTGTTAGGAGCGTATAGAATAATTTATAAATAGCATGGTGGGTTTTTTCAAAATGTATAATTATACTTTTAAACCTCCTGCATCGCTGGGGAAAAGGAGTCTTCAAAAACAGCTTTACAAAAAGAACCAAAGGAAAAAAATTATTTGCTGGCATTCATAAAATCACAAAGAGGAGGGTTTTCTATAGCAGGAGACAACGCAGGATACCCGTGGACAACCATTCCCACACCTCTCCTCCCACATCCTCCTCAGGCAGCTGGATTGTAAGAAGCCTGGATATTTAGGGGCATCATGGGAGGAGATGGTTTAGCAGCATGACGTCCCCATGAGCAGAGAGGGACATGCTGAGCCTGGACCATGGAGTGGGTCAATATAAGGGCGATCAGGGAAGATAAATTCATATCCTCTCCACTGAAACCAGAAGAAATTGTGCTCAAGCCCAGGGGTTTGGGAGAAGCTGTGCACCCCAACTTGAGTGCAGAGGCAGCAGGGGCACTGTGTGAGGCAATAGCATCTTTCTGGGTCCTTCACTGCCCTGCCCTGCCCTGCCCATGTGGTGATTCCTGCTCCAGAGGGAAGACCAGGGGCTTCACTGCCACTGCTTGGAAAGAAAGGTATGGAATAAATACAGAAGTAAAAGCAGATTAGGGAGAGCTTGATGTGGAATGAAGAGGGGAATTTAGTAAATCACACCAGGAGATGCTGTTCCAGCTTCCAGGATCAATAGAGCATCAGCCTTGGGCTTCAGACACTCTCGGCATCCTCTGGCCAGCCCCAAACCTTCCCATTATGGCCTCCAATGATAATGGTCTTGAGAAATGTGGTCAATATATCAGATTTCCCAGGGACAGTGCTGAAAAAATGCACAAATCCTCTGGCAGCCTGAGCTAGCTCTATTGATTTCTCACACATTTTCCCTCTCTGCCGGTACTGACAGAAGATGAGGGCGTGAGGATGAGCATCAGGAGCTGGGGGGGGTCCCAGACCCCAGGGCAGAGGCAGTGCACAAGGTCAGACTGGCAGTGGCACAGGCAATCCCCTGGGAGCTGTTAGGGTGTTTGTACAGCCGGGAGAGCTGCCTGCAGCAGGGTTTTTAAGCCAGGAGGAGCAGTGGTTTCCAGGACATAATGCACTGATCTGAGTGGGTCTGATTCCAGCAGCAGGGATGTTTGTGTCAATCCATCCCTCTTCCAAACATTGTCCCAACAGTCATCTCCTCGCACAGCTTTTTAAAGCATGGTAAGAGGATGCTTTTGTACCACTTCAGGATGAGTGGTTGCAGCAGGGTCACTTTACCTACCAGCTGAATTTGATCTGTTGGGACTTGAGCCCATCACTGTGGGAGACAATATCACAGAGGTGGATTTAGGACTCAGGATTTAGGACTCAGGATTTCCAACAGCCATCCACAGGAATGGGACAGCCCTGGCCCCAGCTGACAGCTCATGGGAATGTGGGTATGTGGGGCATAACCATGCCCTGCCAGTCTTACACATCTCCCCTGCAGTCTCCAGGGCAGGTTTTTCCCCATTCATTGCTCATCCAGTGCCCACGTGCCTGATGTTGAAAATCCCAAAGTCATGCAACAACATAGCTGTGACTGTAAGCCCATGTGTAGAGGTTTGATTGTCATT